TCAAACTTCTCTTGCTAGTGCCATTCGTGCCCGCTGTTCTCGTGTAATCCACCAGAGGCCGTTGTTGACTGATTGACTGACTGAATTACTGGCCGATTGGCTGACTCGCCTTCCTCCTTCTCTAAAGGGGAATTACCAACCTATGTGACACATGACGTCACACGGGTTCAACCGCGCATAGCGGTTGCAAAAAAAGACTGTGCTGCAATAGAAAACATGCCATGTTGAGCGGAAGGATGCCAAATTCACAAAACCAAAAATAGAAAAAAATGAACTTTTACCGTACATCCCACTGCTTTAAAAAACCACAGACGGCTTTGGCTAACAGCCATCAGAAGAGCTGAATGAAGTGAGGAGCTAATTAAAAATGCTTGACTCTGCAGTTCTCATTTCAAATCAGGTAAGTTCACGCTATGCTGAACTATACACATTACTCGTTGTTGATTGCAGGAATGATTTCACCAAAGACAGCTAAATATGGTTAATTCTTGCACATGCCCACACAGAACAAAATTGTAGGCATCCAAAGACTTGTAGGCTTGTAACTTCTTTCTTGTAAAATCACTTGGAGTTTCAATGAGATAGTTGTATATTTCGGGCCACTGGATGCTTGGCCATTTCGTAATATCCAATATCCACTGGGAGGTGCTATCACAAAAGACCTGTCAGATGAACACCGCTCACTTTAACGTTAATTTTGCTGAATAAGTGTGCTTATCACTGGGTGAAAGCTGTCATACTTTCCTACTAGGAGGTTGTAAACAATCGTTCCTTAAAGGAAACTGTCACTAGCTCTAAGTGTAAAAGAACACCCAAAAGTGAATAATATATGTAGTAAATCTAGTAAACATATACAAATTTATAGCAGTGGTGGACTGAGTGGTGACAGGCAACAGGCTCTGCCAAAAGCTATGCGGTGCTATGCTATGCGGATGACACCCAGCTCTATCTCTCTGGCAAACCCTCTTCTTGTTTTCCACCTACATCCCTTACAGACTGCTTAGCAGAAATCAAGTCCTGGCTCTCTCTTAACTTCCTCAAACTAAATAGTTCAAAAACTGAGGTTTTGCTTGTTGGTACCAAATCAACACTCTCCAAAACTGACAGCTTTTCTCTCTCAATTGACGACTGTTCCATTTATTCCTCTAAACAGGTTAAGAGTCTGGGTGTCATCCTTGATAGCACCCTATCTTTTGATTCTCACATAAATAGCATCACCCGGTCTGCTTACTTCCACCTACGCAACATTAACCGTCTCCGCCCTTCTCTTACCCCTCATGCCACTGCTGTTCTCGTTCATAGCCTTGTCACATCTCGTTTAGATTATTGCAACTCTCTTCTCTTTGGTCTCACTCATAAATCTCTCCGTAAGCTTCAGTTGGTCCAGAACTCAGCTGCCCGTATCATCACCAGAACCCCTTCTTCTCATCACATCACCCCTGTCCTGCAGCAGCTTCATTGGTTACCTGTTCATTTTCGAATTGACTTTAAAATCTTGATGTTAACATTCAAAGCCATCCACAATCTCGCCCCTCCATATTTGTCTGCCCTCATCCAAATTTCTGTTCCTTCTCGCACCCAGCGATATTCTTCCTCTCTCCACTTGTCTGTTTCCTCTTCTCGCCTTTCAACTATGGGCAACAGAGCATTTAGCCGCTCTGCTCCGCGGCCTTGGAACTCTCTACCACCTGCCATCAGAAACATTGACTCCCTCACACTGTTCAAATCAAGACTCAAAACCCACTTATTTAAGATGGCTTTTAATACTTAATATTATCTGCACTTTTGCTGTGTATATTTTATTATTTCTCTTGTTGTTTTATTGCTCTTGTTGATTGTACGGTGTCCTTCAGTTGCTAGAAAGGCGCCTTTTAAATAAAATGTATTATTATTATTACTATTAAAAGACAGTAATAATTAAAAATTACCCTACTGGAATATTAGCCTATTTAATATGGAAAGCTGAATTTCTACAGGACAGCCAGTAATAACATTAAATAATTAATTCATTCATTTTCCTTCAGCTTAGTCCCATTATTCATCAAGGATAGCGACAGCGGAATGAACTGCCAACTTATCCAGCATATGTTTTACACAGCTGCATCCATTCATACTTATTCACACATACACTACAGCAAATTAAGTTTATTCAATTCACTTGTCCCGCATGTCTTTGGACTGTGGGGGAAACCGGAGCACCCGAAGGAAACCCACACGATCACAGGGAGAACATGCAAACTCTCCACAAAAATGCCAACTGGCCCAGCCGGGACTCAAACCAGCAACCTTCTTGCTGTGAGGTGACAGTGCTAACCACTGAGCCACTGTGTGGCCCACAGTATTAAATAGAAATAATATTAAATAATAAATAAAGTATATAAATAAATAAAAGACATGGATGGATCAAATTAGTTAAAATATTTTTTTTTTATCTTCGCTTACATTTTATAATATTTCTGCATTAACTTCTCAACTGTAGGTATGGCATAATAACTAACTCATTTTGTGACCCCCCACCACCAGGATAATGATGTCATTTAGATTTGACGCCAACAGAAGGAGTCTGGGATCAGTGATAATCTCCACTGGTAATCAAAGCCTTTCAGCTCCCTGAGTTAAAGTGTCATCGGGTAACAGGCAGATATTGGTGATGAGTGATGGGAACCTGTGTAGTCTGTCTCCACATATCCAGCACGGCCGCAGACATGCTGCTCTCCCGTCAACCCTGCATTGTTTTCAATTACACTGTTATTGGACTATTTGTCAGGCTTTGAATGGGACAAGCCAAATCGGTTAGAGCTTGTTGCTGTAAGGAAACAATCATATGGTCTTGATTTCCCCTTTTAGAATCGCCTCACCATAGCCTGCACATTATAATCGGTCGCAGCCAACATTTCACACAATGTTAGGCCAAAAAGAAAAAAAGTGAAAAGGACTGAGGGAGGAAAGCCAGAAGGGGTGATTTGTTATCTGAGCACCAGAATGGTGCGTCAATGCCTTTCAGGCTGGCAATTGAGGGATGTTGGGCATGTAGATGCCTCTATAAGGCAAGAGATCCGTAAATCAAGTCAAGTTAAGGGGTTGCTCTTATATGAAAGGCAGTAGGCCTCTCTAAAGGAAGATGGACCGGCAGATTGACTTCAGCTCTGAGACACCCAGAGAAAGGCTGTTTTGAGCAGCTCCTTTCAGTCTCCAGAGCCCAGAGGAGGTTTCTGACACCTAGACGGAGAATGTTTTCTCAGGATCCCTAGTGAGACAGTCCCTGCTTTTCTTTCTCTCTTTTTCCATGCAAAAAAAGTCATTAAGCATGTTTCATACAAAGTACAATGTCTCTATCCAATTCATTCATCAACTTCTTCAATGTGCCTTTTTTTCCATTTATTCTGCTCGTTTCCAAATATAACACTATAACCATTTTCACTCAATGTAAATATAGTGGGAGTTTAAAAAAAATATGGCTCCAATTCTTGGAATTTTTGACTAGTAATTCACTGTAGTCAACAAAAACACAAGACAGAATGAGAGACTAGTATTTGTGTGTATATGTGCCTTATGTGCGCATGTATGCATGTGGCTTTGCATTTGTATAATTTAGGAGGTGCGTGTGTGGCAGGCTGTGGCTTGGAGTTGGAGTTTGGGCAGTGAAGGAGTAGTCAGTCCCTGTCTGGAAGCTATGTTAATCCTGTTTTTTTTTAAAGAATGAAACAGAGAGGAGTACCCAAGGAAGAACGTGACTTTTTAGAGATTTAATTTGGGTTCTGCTCACGCTGAATCCACCATGTCTGATTTCAGACAGACATACCAGGGCACCGTGCCCACCAATAGTGCTGGAGAGCATGGATGTCCAGAACAAAGAACAGAGTTGTTACTTCAATATTTAAAACTATTTCAAGAACATGATGCATGTTCTCCCTTTATTTACTTTGTTTAGGCTTATCTAAACACAACAATCATGCTTTGATACTTACCAAAACAATATATTCAATTGGTTGAAGGTACTATCACCATTGTTGTATATTATGAAAGGGATACTGTATTCCCTCAAACTCACATCCTGGAGGTCCAGTGTCCTGCAGTGTTTAGACACACCTGAACCAGCTAATCAAACTCTCTTTAGAAACTTCCAGGCAGGTGTGTTGAAAGATGTTGAAGTTAAACAATGCAGGACATTGGCCCTCCAGGACAATGTTTGGCCACCCCTGATTTAAATGGTTCTTCTGGCAGAATAAAGCCACACAGGGTTATCAACAGCTCAGGCTGTTATATAAGACTAAAGGGCTTTATGCTGCAAAAACAACCGGCTAGATGTACAATATCCCACTTATTACATACCGACTTGCCACAAAACTTAACAATTAGATGCAAAACAGATCTGAGGTGTAATAATTCATTAACACTGACAGATGACAGATAGGCATAACGGTCAACATGATTAAAAAGTACCCAGATGAGCCTCTGTTATTAGCTTTAACAGTTGTTGTCTTGGAATATCAAACTTTGTAATGTCGTGAATGACCAATCATAATCAAGTATTTCATAACAATAATAGTAACACTTTATTTTGATGGTCCGTTTGAATATTAGTAGACTGCTTAATATCTGATGATACTGCTCCTTCAACAGACATTTAACTGACTATAAGATAATTTGCAAGTACATTTGAACTCACACTAACCCTAAACCCAACCCTAACCCCAACCTAACAGTTTACTCATAATCTATTGAGAATTAGTTGGCATGTAGATGCAATGTAACTTAAGTTCAACAAACGGACCATCAAAATAAAGTGTGATCATAATAGTTTGTATTTAATGCATTAACTTTACATATCACGGATTAACGTGACATCATTTTTATAGTTTGTATATGCAAAGTACCTCATGGCATTATAATTCAAATTCTGGTTTATCTTTCGATGCTGGGATTCAATTCAAATTCTAGTTCCTAAATTGAAAGAGAGTCAAATCTTAAACCAAAACAAAACAGACAGAGACTCTTACTAGGCAGGGCAGGGCTGTGTGTTGCACAGGTGAGAGCCAACCACCGGTCTTGTTTGAGGGTTGCAGAGTGAAGAGTTGACCTGCGTCTGCTGATCCTGCAGACAAATGGCTTTCGTCGATACACGACCTTAGAGAGAGTTAAAACCAGATACAAAGATAGTGAGTGCAAACATTTACTCTCTGTGGACATATTGCAGCAATCCATCTTTTTAACATGGCCTAACATGCATCTTTATCATGCGATAAACTAATGCATCCTCTGAGCAATCTTTTAAAAAGGAAAGTTGGGACACACTGTCCGTGAATGGTCTTTTTGGGGATTAAGGGAGCTCAGGATGAATGGCAGTACTGTAGTGTGGCTTCTGTTGTGGCAAACAAAGCTGGGCCTCTGTCAGTGTGAGAGGCCAGGAGGGGCGGCCCAGAGGTCCGTTTGAAAGAAAAGCATGAATGAAACTGTGTGAGAGCGCAGATAGAGATCTGTGCTCTGGGCATGTCATAGTGCTGCCTGTCTGCTACCAACACTCAGACAACTGACTGTGAATGGAGGAGCCACTAACACAGAGATGAGCCAGTGAGATTGGGAGGTCTGGAGGAAGGAGGGGCACACTTTTGTCTTTCTATCCTGTTCACAAAGGTGCATTTGATGGACCTGGACAAACACACACATGCGCTTCCTTCCTCCTACTAACACGCATGAACTGCAACTTGCTCTCTCCCACTTGAGTCAACAAAGCAAACATTTACCGTACATTCAGCATCAACTCACCTCCCGCACAAGGTGCCGAGCAGTCAGAGCGCACAACAGACCAGGTGTAGTTATGCTTCTTCTCTGGATGTGGTAGAGTGTACTCCCATGTTATACCAGGATTCTTACCTTGAAGAAGAATCTGTGAACAAGAAGAGGTAATAGTTTTTTTTATATACACTACCCTTCAGAAGTCTGGAGAAATGTGCAGTTAAAGAACAAGTCTAAATAAAGTAAAAGGAAAGGTGCCATAGTGTCTAGTGGTGTTTTATGATTATAGCTCCATTGGGACTAAGAGATGACACCACAGTGTGTCTCGTGATGCTGCTCTAGAGGGGTACTTGAATTAGATTGTCTATGTACTTGAACTGAAGCTTGTCAGCTTGGAAAACGGCACAAGTGGACCAAATAGTGGGTAGGTTGAATCTGAATATTTTTCCGTAGTAGTATACTGTGAGACTTTATTTCCCTGAAATTTTGACATCCATATTTATGTTTTGGTAGGCCTGCATGCTATAGTTTTGGTGCCTGTTCCTGGAGAAGATCTTACAGTTGTTCATGTGAGACTAGACCACAGAGGAAGTTCAGCCAGTTCCTCACTAAATCTGTGCCCAGGGCCACTGAGGACAGCCTGAGGATAACTCTAATGGAGTGGAAAAGTCCTGCAACAAGAAGAGGACCTTTGTTTTTAGGCTTTGCCACATGGGGAATTTCCTTAGACTATTTGCAATAAAAAAATGCAACAACACTAAATTCACTGGAACTGGTAAACCACCAAATTATATGTCAAAAGTATAAACAAAGCAGCTAAACAAGGATCAAACCGAAAGGGTCAATGAAAAGTTTGCAGCAGTGTTTACACAAACCAACAGTAATAGCAAGGCAACCCAAATTTCTCGTAAGTAAGAGTACGAGCTGAAGTATGGATTATGCAGACCTTTAATTACTCTGGATTTACCCTCAGTGAGTTAATGGTTTGAACAGGAAGCGTGTGGCAGGCTGCTGCTGATGTGGGTAGATTATCTTTAATCTGTCACAATAAACACAATAAATGCTCTTCAAACGGGCTCAATGCATTGTCAGATTATTGGGTTAGCTTAAATCCTCTACCTGTAGTTTCCTAGCCAAACTTGGGATCAGGTAAGTGTCAAATGCATATACGTTATACAGGATGAAGAGTATAAATTTGTGTGCAATCCCTTTTGTTTTTTTTTTTGTTTTTGTTTCAATGGGATGTGAATGTAACTGAAACTATCACAAGTACAGTAAGTCCAAACCTGCAGAAGTGGAAGGAATCTATCAACAGAACAGCAGAAGACATTGTGCGAATCAAACAAAGGCTGTGTTTGAGAGATGGAGGACTTCCAGAGGAAGTAAAACAAGTTTCTTGAAAGACAGTGGCAAGTTAGCAAACTTTTTAACATTTCTTGGCTCATTCTCCCTTCAAGTGTCCAGGCTGAATCTATTGCCCTGGAATCAGTCCACGAGACCCTGCACGCTAGCCTGTTCAAAGCTGGTCCAGATTTACAGTTGGCACTGAACACAGAGCAGCTATTCCAGAATCAGGCTCAGGAGGAGGTCTCTGATCCATCTGTGATCCGGCTAGCCATCTGACTATGGATACAACACATGGGGAAACTCTACCTCTCCTGATCCAGGGTCAAGGCCTGCATGAGCCCATTGCAGCATGTCTGTGCTCTGATATAGGATGTCTAGAATTTCAGTCCTAACATATGCAACAAGAAACACAATTTTGAACATTGACTCAACATGCTAAACATCCTAAAACCTACTGCCTCTTTGCATTTTCTATTGTCTTATGCTGGAATAATAGCTTCACTCCATGTTTTTCTATCCCGTTTCTCAGTGTGGACGCTCCCTTACTATCTTTCACCCTAGTCATTCTGAATAATGACAGAAAATCTGGGGCAATTACTGAACTCTATTGAACAGGACCACTAGGACAGGTTCATTATCAAGCACTCCCAGTATTGGGTTACTACACAAAAATCTATGTGTTCCCTTGCTAAAAACATGTCAGTTACAGAAGAAGCAAGAGTGGATTAAAAACTGATTAGTGGGTGTACAGTTTCAACATTTAACCAAATGTTATTAACAAACCGATGTGACATAAATAAGAATTATTTTGGGGAATCATTTTGGAGTTTTTTTCTGGAGATTTAACCAGTGTCTGAAACCAAACGTTTTGAAACAAGTCTGCTCCAGCTGGTAATATCCTTCAAACTACAACTGGTTTCTAGTAACTGTTGTTACTAGATATTACTAAGTGTACACCACTGTACACTCGGGTATCTTATTTTAACCTCCAAGTGAGGGAAGGGATATGACTATTAAGTTTATTGGGGATTTAAATGCATCATTGAGGATTGGCATTACCCTATTAAAACATGGCACAAGAATATCCATAAGTAAATGAATTCTAAAAAGTATTTCTCAGTCAGAAATATGTCAAGTCTGAAGGAAACTGCTTTACTAAATCTAGTACCTCTCAATCTACCATGCTGAGCTGATTACAAGATTTAGTACCTCATCATAGTTTACATTCAAATTTCTTAAGTGTTCATTAAGGGTCTTGAAGCTGAAGTATCTATTTTCCATAGCAGGACAAAGATCCAGCCAAGCCTAATTGACCAGCTGCTTCCCTCGAATCGCAACCCCGAGCCTCTCTGATCTATTGAGTTCAATTGCAGAAATCTTAATCTTTTAATCTCTCTCTACCCTCCTCTTCTTTTTGAAATTACAGAGCATACTTAGGGAGATTAATGCCAACTCATCAGCAAATCAGAACTCCGCTGCCACCACCCACCCTGGGAAAACGTAATAAACAGAGGGCACGCGGGCTCAAGGGGAAAGCTGCATACACGTAACACACAGGTTGAGTGTGGTGCAGATCAAAGGCCAGTAAATAAGGTCAGAATGAAAATGTATTAAATGAAGCATGCCTGACTGTTGTATAACTTACACAACAACACCTGCAAAGCCATCAAGTTTGATCATAAAGGACAATTGGGTTTTTAACAGCTTGGGATGTTTCCAACAAAAGAAATTTGGTGGTATGATAAACACTCTGAGAAATAAAGGTACAGGAGCTGTCACTGGGGCAGTACCTTTTTAAAAAATACATATTTGTACCTGAAGAGTCCTGAAGAGTACTTTGTAGGTAAATTTGGGGACTAATATGCACCTTTGAGGTACCACTGTGAACTCTTTGGGCACAAATACGTATCTTTTGAAAAGATACCGCCCCAGGAACAGCTCCTGTACCTTTATTTCTGAGAGTGTGGTGTAACTGAATTTTGAACTGGCAAATGTACAAAAAAGGCGTTCAGAGATGTTAGATCTTAAAGTGTCTCTAAACATCATTCCTTTTGCACAGATAGTGGAGTATGGCACTAGAACGATTTACAGCATTTGTTGAAGTACTGCTCAAATACCAGATCAGCATATATACTCTTTCTTAAGATGGCATTTTTTCCACTCAGAGTTATGTCGATCTGCATTCTCCAAGTATGCACCATAAGTATGGAATGAGCTTCAAGATATATTACATATGAAATCTATACCATCTATCACTATATTTTAAAATATTTTGAAGTCAATTTAGAACAGTGCACATTTTAACAATTGATTAGGTTTTATATTATTTTTGTGTGTGTCTATGTGTTGTGATATGTATTTTTTTGTAGCTCTGTCCTATGCTGCCTGTCTAGACCAGGAATCCCTGGTAGAAGAGATATTGTAACTGGTTAAATAATTAAATAAACAAATAATAAAAAAAAACAAAAAGGTTGTAGGTTTTTGAAAAAAAATGAAATCTGGTCAAATTTAATTTAATTAGACTTTGGATTACAACATTTAAATTATTTTTAGAAAATATTCAGCAGTACAAATATATTGGTGCCATACAATTATTCTTTATGTTTGTCTTTTGTTGTAAACATCATATATCATGTTATATTTTGATGAACCTCCTCAGACATTCTGTTGACAAAAAGAAACTTTAAAACTACATGTCAACTTATATTTAGGCATGGCTTTACTGAAGTGATTCTTGCATGTAATTGAAAACTTTCTTGCAGTGCACCGAACGTATTCAGGAAAACCATCAGAATAAAGCATTAGCATAAAAATATACAGCAAAATAACTACATTAATTCATATTAAGCAGACGGTCAATTGATACTGTAATGGCTGGAAGCAGAGTTACTTTTATTCAGCCAAATGTTTAGAGGCAACCATCCAAATAAAGTGTTAGCAGATAATTAGCAATTGAAATAGTTGTAAAGTTATGCTATTACGTGCCTATTGTTAAGATATTAGTGGTTTATTTGCACTTATAAAGTACATACAATCCATGATTCTATACAACCTTAATACCTATTAATAAGCAGCAAATTATTTTATTGAGGCAAAAGTCATATGCTGCATCCCAACTCACATACTGTCCATGTTAAGTAGTATTTGAAAATAGAATAAGTATGTCCGAATCGTAGTATGTTGAAAAGAATACACCGAAGGTTCCTGCATGGTTTACTATTACCAATAAAAATTCAAAGTTTAGAATCGTCCATACTCTAATCGCTGATATAGCCCACAATACATTGCGCATTGGACGTGAATTTGATTAGAACTACAAACATGAGTGAAAAGGTGTAAATAAACTATAAACATGGCAGACGCACGAGACCAAACATCAAGTAAAGAGGTTTAAGGTTTAAAGTGGAACATATTTAAATCTCGTTTTCTGTGTTATATTTCATCTGCAACAACAATGTTAACTTATTTCAAGATATGTTTGGACAACTTCTGAATGCATAATTATTTAAATACCTGAGGAGATTTCTCTGCATGAAAGACTCCCGAATGTCAGATTGTCCTGCTGCTGCTTGTCCAATAAGGTAGGCATTTAAATATGAAAGTAATGCTGTTACACACTCGAAAGTATATACTTTTCCTTCACAAAAAAGCTCATACTTTTAGGGTGTAGTATAAGTATGTGAATTGGGACGCAGCAACAGTTCATGGTTTATTAATAGTGAGAATTGTACATTAAAATAAAGAGTGAACAAAGTTCTTGTAGTTAACAAAATGTCTAGAAGTGACCATCAAAAACCAAGGTGTGCATTTTTTTCTTATGATTAAATGATACATTAGGGTTGCCAGGTAACACAGTGCATAGCACGATTGCCTCCAGCAAGAAGGTTGCTTGTTGGGTAGGCTAAATCATCCGTAGTGTATGTGTGTGAATTAGTTTGGGTATGGATGTTTCCCAGTGAAAGGTTGCAGCTGGAAGGGCATCCGCTGCGTAAAAAATTTGCTAGATAAGTTGGCGGTTCATTCCGCTGTGGCGACCCCAGGTTAATAATGGCCCGTTTCCACTGAGTGGTACGGTACGGTTCGGTTTGGTACGCTTTTATGGCCGTTTCCACTGTCAAAAGGCGTACTGAACCGAACCGTAAAGTACTACTATTCGGTATCCCTTTCGAAAGGGTACCAAAAGGCAGAGCTAGACTTACAGCTGAACGCTATTGGTTTACAGAGATACGTCATACGCTTACGCAACAAGCCAGAATGAAAACAAAAACCTGCCATGTTTGAAATACACAGCGAGAGATTACAGCGGAAATATATATACATATAATAACGAGCCATGGTCGACCCAGGCTCAAACAAACCTTGTCGTCGTCTTGATGAACAGCCACAAAGCCAAAAAGAATTGCAGATTTACCCTGTGGCAATTAGTTTTTTACGAGCCAGTCTGATGTGCGAGCGGTTTCGCTTTCCTGCTTGCACTCGCCGCACGTCTATATCTGAAATAACAAACTTCTTGAGCTCATGATAATAATGTGCGCTTAATTATTGACATGCTATTGTATCCCGATTCTGTCAGATACTGTCAAAACGCGAGAGTGAAGCGTGGAAAAAAAGGAGAAGCTGGAAAAAAGGACCATATTATTTTTTCAGCAAACATGAACAAACTGTCTTGTTTAAGTATTATCTTCACCTTTTGGACTATTATGAACTCAGAAAGATGGAATTTCTCTTCAACAGAGGCTACATGTGCTGCTGAAGATTACAGACACAGATGAGAGGTCTGCTCTGACTGTGGACTACATTGTGGGCTATATTTCCTGTTGTTTTTGAACCTAAATAAGCACTAAATGTCTGCTGTCTGTAGTTCTTCTGTAGTTGGAAACATTTCGGAGACTGTAAGAGCCTGCATGTGTTCATATACGTTGCATTTATTTTATATAATTACAGACGTTACAGTAGGATATTTTGCACTGTCAATGATTTGCAGTTATAATCAAATCTTGTTCATAGAAAAGTTAGTAATAAACATTTATACAGGGGTATATTGTGAGAAGTGCTTCTCATATGATATGTAAGCGACCCGTACAGCTTTACTGTAGACATTTTCTCAAGCGAGCGAAAATGTAAAAACTTTGTCATACACCACGCCCACCAAAAGGGTGCCCTTGGTAGTGGAAACGCATGCCTGATAAAGATAACCCGTACCGACCCGAACCGAAGCGTACTTTACCAGTCAGTGGAAATGAGCCATAAAGATACTATGCCGAAAAGAAAATGAATGAATGATTGAATGAATGTTAAATCATCAATTATTCCTTTACCAGCTGCCAAACTAATGGAGTAATCTGTTAAAACAAAAGTTTAATTGTTTCATCAGATCTGTTTTTCAGATGTGCTTCAGATGTGTACAGTTATATGAAGCACCCTTACTATGACCTGAAAGGTCACCTATACCCATACTCATCATTATTCATGTAAGAGGTGCCCTGTGCTGCCCATTAGCAAGAGCACACAGTGCAGTGAGTTCAAAGCTTAGAGCCATTCACATTGTCGCGTCGTTTGATCTGGAGTCTCTACATACTGAAGATGAAAGTCGCAATGACCACGTCGGTTCTGGCCTGCAATTAATCCCAAACAGAGGCGTTAGTCTGCCCATTCGGCTCATTTGTGTGCCTTCTCTTGTGTCTCTCTCTCTATCTTTCCCTCATTTGCTTCTCATCTCTCTCGCCCACCCACTGTCCCTTAGCCTTGTTTTCATCTGACCGAATGGCCACGGCGCTCTTGCCAAGACCCTGTCATGGCTAATTCGCTAACAGGTGTCAGGCAGAACGGGAACGGGGGTGACTCACTTCAAAGAGCAGGGTCTCATTAGTGGGGCCTGTGGCGAACAACGTCTCAGGCCGGTTGAAAGAGCGCTGATAGTTGAATGTAGTACCGGCAAACTGGAACCTGCCCGGCCAGTCCACCGTCCAATCCGCCGTCAGGTAATAAGTGCCACGTTTCAGGCTGCGAACAGCCAGGTAGCTGTTGGAAATCTCCATCTCCTGCACTTGAATGCTCCTCGCGCCGGCAGGAACCATCACAACAGGGTAATACTCTGAGAAGGGAAAAGGAGAAAAAATGGGTTCACCATGTCTGCTGACTTCTGCCACTTCTACCATTTCAGAAGAACTGGCATCATTGAACTGACGCATTATCACCTCCTTCAGATGGATAAGAGTGATGAGGTGCCAGACGGTTGTAAGTACTCTAAAAAATACATGAATTTGGATGAAAAAGTGTTGTTTTCTGTAAAGCTTGCAGAGAAGAGCTCTACAGTGGCACATGGACCACTTAAAAATGACAGTAAGAGCCAGATTTTTGTCCCGTATTCATACCTCCTATATCTGTGCATGACATTAGCTATGTTCCCATCCAAAAATGCAAATGAACTTTATGAGCAAAACTAGAATAATCGCATCAAAGACGTGCAAATAAAGCTGCGTTTTCATCCAACAAATCAAAGACAACAAAATGGTCACTTCCAGATTAACTGGTTTCAAATATCAACAGTGAAAACTGAATTTGCTGCAGTAAGAGAAGCTGCATCAATCTTTTCTTCATCTAATAAATGACTACGCCTCAGAAGGCAATCCTGACACGCAGTCAACGCGCAGTGGTGTTTGAAGGTGTCAGACGCGGAGCACAGACACTTGACAGTTCTGGAGGTCATAAATAATAAAATAACACTAATACTGAAATGGTAAGGCTTTAGAATGACTAAAACAACATTTCTGATGTTTTACAGTGCTCAGCCTGCTGGTTTATCCATTTACACACATTTTTTATCATGGCATGATCTCTTATAACAAAATCACATGACCTTTTTTAATGCATATATTGGAGTTTGTGCTGTAAAAGTGTTTCCATTGTAGTTTATGCGCATCTTTTCTTATCGAATAAAAAGTTTATTCTACTCAGTTATTCAGTTCTCATTTTTAAAATGAATGCGCATCTTGGCATTTCAATCAACCGTTTATTTATGCGCATATCTAAAATGTGCATAAAAATAGGTGGATGGAAACATAGCTATTGTCTTATCCAATTAAAATTTGTTCATCGAATTTACTGGACAAAAGTGAGATTGCCTATGATTATACAAGGTTTTGACCCTATGTGATCTTGCTTAAAGCAAGCCTTTACAGATTTAATATATGTTATGGCTTTGCCTCTCTATAAGCTCTTTTTGGTAATCAATTTTCAAATGCTTTTCTTCTGTGACAGATGAACATCAAGTCGTGTCCTCCGGTTGCACTTTTTGGACTTCCTCTGAATATTAAAGATTTACCTAGGTGTAGTGCAAATGCGTTCAGCACTGGAGCGGCATGGTGGCTAAGTGGTTAGCTTAGTTGCCTCACAGCAAGAAGCCCGCTGGATTGAGCCTCGGCTGTGTCAGTTGGCGTTTCTGTGTGGAGTTTGCATGTTCTCCGTGTTCGCGTGGGTTTCCTCCGGGTGCTCCCGTTTCCCCCACAGTACAAAGACATGCGCTATAGGTGAATTAGGTGAGTTGAAATTGTCCGTAGTGCATGTGTGTGAATGAATGTGTATGGTGTTTCCCAGTTATGGATTGCAGCTGGAAGAGCATCCGCTGTGTAAAACATATGCTGGATGAGTTAGCGGTTTATTCCGCTGTGGCGATTAATAAAGGGACTAAGCCTAAAAGAAAATGAATGAATAAATAGTTTGTAATGTATAAATAAATAGTAATTTATGAGTGTGTGTGTGTGTGAATGGAGGAATGCTTGGGAGTTTCCCAACCCTGACGGTTGTATTCAGAATACTGGGTTGCAGCAGGAAGGGCACCCACTGTGTAAAACAATAGCCTGAAAAAATGGTGGATCATTCAGCTGTGGCTACCCCTGAAAAAGCAGTGAATAAGCCGAAAGAATGTGAGGGAGTGAGTTTTTAATAATTATTTTAATAAGTTCAATAAGTTATAATTTCTTGAACACCAAAATAGAATATCAGAAATTTTTCAAACAAACCATACGATATATAGGCCCACACGGAATCTGCACACATAGAAATCTGCAGATTTTCACCAACCATTTAGTCTATTTATTTACTCGTGGGAATATATATGTAATCAGTTGTTAAATTAATGTCAATAGTATCATTGACTAATATTAAAATGTTCATATTATTTATTTACAATAAAGTTTTTAAAGTAATTTTTAGTAGATATATCATATGAAAGCTTTGGTTTGTTGACCAAATAAGTGGATAATATCGGATTTGCATTGTACACATTAAATAATGAAGTTATTTATTTAATTAAATAAGTTAAAAACATTTCATTCATTCATTTTCTTTTTGGCTTAGTCCCTTTATTAATCTGTGGTCGCCACAGCAGAATGAACCGCCAACTTATCCAGCATATGTTTTATGCAGCGGATGCTGCAACCTATCACTAGGAAACACCCATACACACGCATTCTCACACAAACACAATGGACAATTTTAGCTTATCCAATTCACCTATAGCGCATGTGTTTGGACTGTAGGGGAAACCAGAGTATCATTTTAGTATCATTTTAATTATGATACTCCCAGAGCACCAGGAGAAAACCCACGTGAACAAGGGGAGAACATGCACACTGCACACAGAAATGCCAACTGGACCCAGTTAAGGCTTGGACCGACCACCTTCTTGCTGTGAGGCGATCGTACTACCCATTGCACCACCATGATGCCCATAAGTTAAAAACATCTAATTTTCTTTTATATATTGAGTTTTTAGTTATGATACTCCCAAAATCATTTAGCAAAAATCCGCAGTTTTTTACAAAATTCTGTGCAGAAATAGCACAAAATGTCCGCAGATTCTGTCTGACTCTGGATATAACTGACTAATTTCTTTTTCTTGATGCCTTTTATTTTCTTTAAAAGGTCAATCTGAATGAATCAGAATTGGCCTGAATAAAGACTCACCATTGGCTCTGTGCTGAAGGGTGTACTGGCCACTGTAGAACTTGCAGGTGGAGTTGTCTCCTTTACACACCCCACAGGCATCCAGAGCGGCCTTTGATCCCAACACCTGGTCACAGCCCACCGGCTACACAGGAAAAGTTATTAAAATTAAATTGTCAAAATGACACAGTCAGTTCAGCCCACTGGGCCTGTTGAACACAAATAAGTGCATATGTCAATCAATTGTCATGCAGAAAACCAGTGCAAAATGCACAGCCATCTCAGTATCATCATCTCCTCACATACCTCACATATCCCGTCTATGCACACGCCCCCTTTGTAGTCAGAGCAAGATGTCCCATCTTTAACTTTGCTGGACATAGCAAAGAAAAAATCAAAGTCCTCAGCGATGCAGTACAGCTTGCAGATGTCCTCTTCTAGATAGGAGATGAATGAGGTCATTAGATCTTATATCTCCAGAGTGATTTTATATGAGATCTTCTGAAGCTGTGAACAGGTAAATGAAGCATGCTGCTATGAAGTTTCATGCAAGAGAACATATGCGTGAGCTATAACCGTATCAACATTTATCAGACAAAATGCAGGTGGACTTTTACATCAAATGAAAAACAGTTCTTCAAGACCTATGCACACACTCATAAAACCAATGATTCCAATACGGCAGTTTAGTATGTTCAGGTGGGTTGAGGTTCAGAATGGGATCATTGCAGTAATACAATTGGGAAAAAAAATACAAAAATAAATAAACAAATAAATAGAAATAAATAAATGAATACACAAAATAATAAAATAAAATAAAAAAATAAACTAAATTAAATCAAACTTAAAAGTTAAAATAAAAAATAAATAAACAATAATAATAATATTATTAATAATAATAATAAATAAATAAATAAAATAATAAATTTTTTTAAATTAATTAAATAAAAAAATTAATAAAAAATTTAATTAAATTTTTTTATAAATAATAATAATAATAATAATAATAATAATAATTATTATTATTATTATCATAAATAAATAAAAATTAAACAATAAATAAATAAAATAAAATAAAATGCATGGTGGGTTTCCTCCACAGTCCAAAGACATGTGGCATATGTGAACTGGGTAAACAAAATTGGCCCTAATATAGGAGTGTGAATGTGAGAGTTTATGGGTGTTTCCCAGTAATGGCTGGAAAGGCATCCACAGCGTAAAACATATTCCAGAATAGTTTGCGGTTCATTATGCTGTGGCGACCCCGGATATATAAGGAACTACACCCAAATAAAATTAATGAATTAAAAATAAATAAATAATTATCATTTATAAGTTGTAAAGTAATAATACATTTTCATAATTTATTCCAAGCAGACACAATGCAATGTTTACAACCGTCTAGTGCTAATTACTGGGCAAGTGTAAGCTGTGTGTGGTTGGCCATGAAACAACTGGAAGACTCGCTGTGTTGTAGAGAACGTATCCACAGAACACATGTTACACTAAAATTTAAAACTCTGTTACAAACCGGCCCATAAAGCTGGAATGCAAGAGCAATGACTCTGTCCAACTCTCCCACCGGGAGAGAAATATGGACCTATCAGAGACGCATCCGCACTTCCCAGTCAGAAGAAACAGACCCAGCTTCATTCAATACACAAGCACAGTATGAACTGTATGATACTGTGGGTTTTGTCCTTCTAGGATCCTATTAGATCATAAAATACTTTTCTTTTTAACACAACTAGTGATGTTACAGGTCCATAGGTGCTGCTGTAAGGGAAACTAAACAACAGCAAGAATTTTAACAGGAATCGCTACATCGATAAATAATAAGGGCATATAAAACATAACAACAACAACACCAGTAAGACGTCAGTGTTTAATGAAATTTGATTGAACTCCAAAATCCCAGTCAAACAACGGTAAGTGCTTCGTAACAGATGTAGTAGCCAGTGAAATATCCCAAGGCCAAATATGATCTACTATTGAAAACATGGAGCTTCATTCACACCCCTGGAGACAGCTCAGAATCTCCTCTTCTGATCTTTCTTCGAAACTGACATATGAAAGGCCAAACGCATAAACAGACTCAGTGGGTCCTGTTCAGGTACGAACCTGCCTACTGGGTTGATCAGAGCACTGAGCTCACAGAACGAGTGCTTACACGTTTCCAGTCCAAATCCACACACAGCTCAGTCAACACATTCGTTGAGATGAATCGCTTGGGCGGAACACGTTTGTCCCATGTAACAATCTCACTGCATATTGTCAGAAACAAATGGGAATGATTACTATTTAAAAACACACCTGTTCATGCTGACTCAGATATCAGAGGGTATTAAAAACTAAGTAGACAAGATCTAAGATTAATGTTTTCAGAAGTTTTGTTGGGGTACATATACCGGTCAAAAGTTTGGAGGTCAGTAAGATTTGTATTCAGTTTTTTTAAGAAACTATAGTGCAAGACGTGTATGGCGCGATTTGTTGCTATTTTCAGACCAACGAAACCCTTAATTTTCACGTTTTGTGCCATGTTGTTTATAGCGAATGCATTTGTGCCACTTTGGAGACTCATGGGTGTGCTGGTCTATAAAAGAGGTGTGTTAAGGCGCATTGTTGGCACGCTAATTTGAGCTGAACTGAACTGAAATAGACTGTGCCATTGACCAACTAAAAACTGGTCTTAGGTCCAGCGCAGAGCTCATGGTTTTTAATTCATTTGCTGGAAATTAGAACTGAATTTAGAAATAGTTCAAACAAATCTTTGCGCTTAAAAAAAATTAAATATGTAGGCTAATGGATGTCTTCAGTGGAGGGCGTACAACACCGTTTCCTTATTCCCGAAAGTAAAGAGTAAAAGTAAAGTAAAAAGAAAGTAAAGAGGCCGAATGGAGGAGGCTCATTCTTCATCCTTGCGCTGCAGATGGTCTGTTTACTGTTTTTTCGATAGTGAAGTATTCAGTTTTTTTCACTAACAAAGTCTGTCATGTAAATAGCAAATGCATCATGGCTCTAATAGGGAATGGGAGATGAGACTCTGATTGGTTTAATGCACGTTATGTTTAAAACACACCCATAACTCATTAAGAGAATAAGCACAACCTTGTTAGGCCATGCGCAGTGGCACAAACTGTATTTTCTGTCTTTAAAATAGCAAAAGTGGATTCGGACACGTCCTTATTGCTTTTGCGACATCCACTTTAGACTTTGCGCCTAGATTGTTACAATAGAGCCCTTAATCTTTTAATTCATGGCGGTTTATTCTATGGTGGGGACCCTCTGATAAATCATAGTGAGTGAGTGAGTGAATATTTTATTCAGCAAGATTTTGTTCAAAAGTGACATCATAGACTTTAAAAATATTGACAAATAATTTCTAACTTCGATAACAATATGAAATGTTTCTTGAGCACCAAATCAGCCTGTTAGAGTGATGTTTAAATGCTAAAAGCATATAAATTATATTATATTAATATCAATTATTATATATTAGATTACATTAATAAAATGCATGTTATAAACATTATAAAAATTTATAGAAAAATATATTTGTAAAATAATATTTATTAAATAAGTAACAACTTGTGACCTCAAACCTTTGAATAATAGTTTATTAATAAATAACAGTTTCTTGTTTTTATTTATCATTGGATTTTGTTTTTGTTTATTAATGCTTCCAAACTGCATTATAGGTGTTCAAAAAGTAAATGCAAAAAACATGTGAATCACCAAATAAATCAGATATTTTTACAGTGCATAGAGAATAGAATAGTTAGTTAAATCCCCATATTAATTATACATTTAATTAGCCTTTATATACAAAGAATTAAGTCTTACATGTCCAATAAACACAGCGATACTGAACCCGCAGCAGAGGTTTGCTGCACTCTCTTTTTCAACTGTTAAAGAGACACTTGTTTTTGTTGGTAATTAATGCATTAAGGCCCAGATATCTCCCATACCTTCCACTTTGGTGTATGGCTTCCATTTGTAGTACCACCCCCTGAATGGTTTGCTGTTGTACTCTGCGCACTGCTGAGCTCTGAAGTCCACTCCATCGGGCTGGCATGGCTTGGTGTTACACAGCTGGTGCAGTCGACCGGGGCCTTGGCAGAACTTGCCGTTGTGCTGTGGGCTTGGGTGAAACAACCAGCAATTAGCACGAGCGAACATGGAAGCAAGGTTAGAGAGAGAGAAGAAGAGAAGAAACAGATGTGCCTAAGCAAGCATTCAACATGTGAGTGGAATGACAGCCATTTGCTATTTTTTTTGGAAGAGCGGCTGGTGAGATGCATTTCATATGATGTGCATTAGCATTTGCGCTGAGGGAATGTCTTTGTGTGTTATCGGTGATGTGTCCGACTGAATCCCATCCCAACTGACAGCTGTAAAAGATATAAAATGTTCAGGATGCGATTCCATTCATGACTTGGACCTGCTCGTGTTTTCAACAGCTATGATTTCTGAATAATAAACTTCAGCGAGAACAAGACAACACACAGCTGGACTAATTTACTTTACACATTGTGTTATCTGAGTCGACTTGCTTCCCTGTTGCATTTATATTGGGAATCTTTTGTTTTCTAAACTAGTTAACCTACAAGCTTCTCTTCAGGAGAAGTAGTGCAAGCCTTCTGGTGAATATCACAATGCTGATCTAGCAATAAAACATCCACTCAACTAAAATAAATCTGCTTGATCTAATGTGGAATGCCATTCATTCATTGGAAACACTACATCATAAAGTATACTTACAGTCTGCATGAAATAAATATTTACTGTTTATTTTGCTAGCTCACATTGCTATTCTTAAGGTGAATAATCAATCTGTGGATGTTAATCCACTGAATGTATTTATTTTTTGGCAATCTTTAAACAAAGTCTGGCCATTTGCTTCCCCATTTGGAGTGGCGGTCCTTCTGTTGATGTCATACAGGATACAGGAAGATCGCTACGAAGGCACAAATTTCCTTTCAATGTTTCAATTGTTTTTGCATTTCTTCATTTCTTTTAACTTGCATTAGTTATTCATTCATTTTCATCTGCTGTTCCAAGGCCGGGTTGAGGGAGCAGCAGTCTTAGGAGAGAACTCTAGACTTCCCTCTCTCCAGACACTTCCTTCATTTCCTCCGGGATGATCCTGAGGAGTTTTCAGGCCAGCAGAGAGACATAGTTTATCCAGTGTGTCTTGGGTCTTTCCCGAGGCCTCCTCCCGGTGGGATATGCCTGGAACATCTCTCTAGATAACGCCCAATTCACATGGGGATTCAGCATCAATGCTTGACAGAGGGCGTGTCTGAAATTGGGGCTGACTGTGTGAATTGTGTGAATGAGCCGTAAGTGTCCAGGAGGCATCCGAAACAGATGCCTGAGCCACCTCAGCTGACTTCTGTCAATGTGGAGGAGCAGCGGCTCCACTCCTAGCTCCTCCTGAGTGACAGAGCTCCTAATTCTATCTATAAGAGTGTGCCCTGCCACTCTGCGAGGGAAACTAATTTCAGCTGCTTGTATCCGAGATCTTGTCCTTTTGGTCTTGACCCAAAGCTCATGACCATAGGTGAAAGTAGGAACATAGATTGACCGATAAATGGAAAGCCTTTCGGGTCAGCTCCTTTTTTACGACAATGAACCGATACATCGACTGCATTACTGCTGCCACTGCACTGATTCACCTGTCAATCTCACCATCCATCCTTCTCTCACTCATGAACAAAACCCCAAGATACTTGAACACCTTAACCTGGGGTAAAGACTTTCCTTCAACCTGGAGATGGCTTGCTTGCAACAGTTAATTTTAGTAAAATTATTATTTTCCATTGTGATGAAAATACAGGCATCAGCCTTGAAAGGCAGTGGACTATATTACCATTTTTTTGTGGATAGTTAATTTTCGACTACCTGTATTAATCAATTGTGCATCTTCAGAAGACTTGGATTCAAGAGCTCAACAGCTTTTATGTCTTAATGAACATTTGGGAGGGGGGTTGCATTAAATATCTGAGTCAAAAATATATATATGTAATAGTGTTCTAAGGATGAAAGCATTCATGTGTTTTAAATATGACTTTTTTGTTATGGAGTACTTAACTTGTTAGCAAAGGTTCAGCAGCTGAACCACGCCTCACTTTGTCTCCTTAACCAATCACCTACTCCCTTAAACTAATTTAAAGCAGACCAGCCTCTAGCACTATTCTCATTTTCTCGAACCCACTCTCCCTCCTTCTATTACTTCCCTTCCCATTCACAAGCCTATAAACCTCTCTTCACTCCTAGGTTGAATGGGGGGTCCTATAACTCAATCAAAATATTACAGAAACGGTACCCCCACTTTGAGTCCCTGGTCATCATTGTTGGACGCCTGATCAACCTACCTACCTGTTAACTATTTATCTTCTTACTTACCTTCCCCTTCATCCCACTGTTCTTTTACCATCCCCTTCATCCCTACATCCCTACAATAAAGTCTAGCTCAAAGTGTAGTGTGGTCCATGCTGGTGAATGTTTATTTTATCAGTGCAAACTACTCTGTGAACAAATTAAACTGTTGCACACAGGACTTTATATAAAAAGGTCAACTCTCAGACTCTGGACAATCACTTCAAATCTTCCCCCTGTCTTGCTGAGGCAGCTCCAGGCTGGGGAAGAGCAGAAGCCTCCTCCCAATGCCACAGGAATGCCTCCGAGTGCCACATGAAGCAGAAAGTCACCCTCTTTCCTCAGGGAAAAGCAGCCCAGAGCTTCTGTAACTAAGGCTGTGAGAGCGGAGGCATGCTTGCGGCATATGGTTGCATGTTTTCAAGTGGAAGACTCTTGGGTACTCTCTTGTAGACTAACCTCAAAGTAAAGGAGTGCGCCACGGGCCTGTCATTGTGTCTGTGCATGTTCTTTTTGGTCTCTGGCCTTTAGCTTTTTATTGCGTGTTCACACTTGAGGTTAAGAAACCACTCAAAGAGAGGACAATTGGGCCTTCCTTGTGCTCTTTATGCATGTATGATGATCGAAATGAATAAGCATTGGGAAACAGATGCAATATTGTTCATACAAATCATACAACATACTTATAGTGTCTAGAACAGCCATTTTGAAATTGTGGAGTGGTAATAAGTGGGTAACTACAGTAGTTAGATTTAGCTGCATGCAAAAAATAATATATAGAGTTAGCTCTTAAACAAATGTTTGATAATTCAGGGTGGCTAAGATTCTGACTTCAACTGTATATAGCAACAGCATTTCTTCGGTTACACAAAAAGAATGCAGTAAAATGTACAGTACTGGCAATTTTATAAAACTACAGCACAGTTATTGTTAATTTACTGTGAACTTGTAAATTGTGCCAGTATTACTGTAAAATTTACAAGTGCAGTGTAAATTAACTTATAATTGTAAAACTACATCACAATTGCAATTGCTAATCCACAGTGCACTTATGAATTTTACAGTTTACAGCATTTTTTTACATCACAGTGTCAATTAACATGCATTATAAAATTGGAAAGGTAAAAAGAAAATGTCTGGTATAGTGTGTTGTATGCTAGTAGATCTGTGCTCTGTTGTAAGCATCCCTGGCATCTGTTAATGTCCAGTTACAGGCTTTGTAATGTTTTCCACACTGAATAGAATTGCAAAGCATTTTACATGCAAGTATGGACCAAGACTGGTTAAAATAAAACAAAAATAAAGTTCCAATTTATGGCTGGTCAAATGGTGCATCCCTACTTCCAGGCTCATTCTGAAAACGTTTCGCTATATACATGTCTGGAGCGCACTAAATACATCCCAGAAGCTACGTTTCTTTTGCATTTTTTGTTTTCGCGAATTCACCAGAGGTCACTGTGTATGCTTTTTCAGATCTCTAATATTTCTCACGAGTGCCATTCGCACCTGCTATTATCGCGTAAATACACCAGAGGTCACTGTCAACCAACTAACTGAATGACTGACTGACCGATTGACCGACCCACCCTCCTCCTTCCCTAAACCCAACCAATAGGGTTTTCAAAAGCACCAATTGCAATCCAGAAAAAGAAAAGCCCTCACCTGATTATTTCCCATGTTTTCAAATTTTAACACATTCTCACCCTGTTGTTTACTTGTTTATTTTACTTTTTTGGCTTCTGTTATTTGTCTTAACTGCTTCCTGAACCATACTTCACTGGACTCGAACCCTGCCATTGTGGTTAACTCCTCCCTGTGTCTCAAGTCTGCCAACATAGATAGTGAGCTAACTAGACAAACTGGTAACAGTGGGAAAGCTGTCCATACTGAGGTAACCAGTCAGCTGGTAAGAGCGACAAGAAATGGCATCATACCGCCTCAAATCATCCGTTTTAAAAACGAAATGCAGCCATACATACTTCAAGCTACATAACTCAAACATTTCCAGAGATGTATATATGGTTACATTTTCAGAATCAGCCTATGTTGCCGCCTACTCAGTTGGCATGCAAAAAAGCTTCATGTGATTTTTATTTAAAAGAAATAATGTCTTTTGCAACTCAAGAGAAGTCAATGAGAACAATGACAGTCTAACAGTGCTGTCAGATGGCTGTTTGTGCATGTCTGCTTTTGTTTTTGGAGCAGGTTTTCAGGCTGATCCTATTAGAGCTTTAGAGATAGTATACTATGGGCCCATATGGTAAAGCACTTACAACAACAACACAGAGCACACAGAGAGAGAAAGAGAGAGATGTGGGGGAGACGGACATGTGTAGATTTTCTGATAAGACATTAAAGTAACTGTGTCCAAATCAATTTTGTGCTACATGCTAATCTTAACACAACATTATTCTCTCTTTCTCCCTCTAAATATTAACAAGACCTTGTAGCAACTGTGTTCCAATCAGACAATGTCATATTCAAAACAGCATTACTACACATTTTGAAGGAAACAAGGTCACTCAGTCTGTCTGCTTGCCAAAATCCCTCCAAAACTCCTACCTAGACCCACATTCTTCTCTATCCCACTCCCTTAATACATCTCCCATCTCCTAGACCCCTATCTTTAATCAAACTCTCATTATGCCCACACTGTTACCCATTAGGTATCCACTTTAAAGTCAAGTCATTAAAACACAGCCCTCTGCATATAAATAAACAATACCAAACAATGATGTAATGAAAATGGATCGTTTGTTTGTTAGGGGCTTTCCGAAGTCCTGTGGGTGATCATATATCTGCATCCTACTCTTTCAACTTTGGCCCCCGGTAATGATGCATTAATGCTACCCCTACCTCTCTGCTAGTTTATAAAAGTTTCCTGTACACTAAACAAGCTTACAAAAAAAGCAAGTCCATCAAAAATCATCTCCTCTAGACTTGCTAAGAAACATATTTTTCAAACAAAGAGATTCATGAAGCTGTAAATCTAGCAGCTGAATATGGAGTCAGTCACATTTTTAGGATCACTTTTATTGATAAATGTTATCCAAGTAAGATGATATGTTGTGCTGCTGGCTTCAACAGCTGTCTCCTGAGGACTTTATACTGAAGTGATGAGTACAGGGATTCCCCTTGAACCTCACCGCCACAAACACAAGACATACCAGCACCTCTTTCTGCTGCAGGTGCTGTCTGAGAGCCGCAAAGGGAGATTATCCATCAAAATGCCTGTTCTGAAACAGGAACTTTTGCTTTTGGATTGAAACAGATCAAATGACTTTAGCAAAATATATTACCATACAGAATATATTTTTTTTCTTTTTTTGTCCATGGAAATGTATTAAGTTTTCATACATAATATATATATATATATATATATATATATATATATATATATATATATATATATATATATATATATATATATATATATATATATATATACACTTTTTTTTTTTTACATCAACAGTCTTTTAAACTATACTTCATTTAATAGTCCATTTAATTAACACAGGCTCATTGGAACCATATGTGCGTCAGCTTACATTTTTGTGAAACTGCAAAAATGTGTACTAAACATATGTTTGACTGCAGTTTCTACACTTTAAAAAATCCAACTTAAAATATTTTAACTCAGTTTAAAATTGTAAGTTAGATGGACATATTTTGAGCTAAACTTAGTCATAAAAACAATTTAGCTGCATGTTTGGAACTGTTTGTTCAATGAAAGTAAAAAAAAAATCAGTTGAGGAGACTTAGAATTTTGATTTCTTCATTTAAGCGTTTACCACTGTAAAAAATAAACAGCTCTGTTAAGCTAAAACTTTACAGCAACCGGCTGCAAATAAATTTTGAGATTATTAAGCTTCAGTGGTTGAAGTTGTGCCAAATTATTTCAAAAGTATACTTGACTTAAAACAGCCATTTCAGTCAACTTAAAAAAAGAATTGGCACAACTTTAGCCACTGAAGCTTAATAAACTCAAAATTTATTTGCAGCCGGTTTCTTTAAAACTTTAAGTTAACTCAGCTTTTTATTTTTTACAGTGTAGTTAAAATGAGCCCCACAGGCATCCAATGTATTTATACACATTAATGATAGTTACAGAGACAATAGAAACATAAGAATAATACCAAAAAAGCAACAATATCTATGCATTAAAATAAAACCACAAACTCTTGTACTTGTTGTGACGCACTTGTTCTTGACTGCTTGAGTTTGAGAAGCACGGTCCCATAAAAGAGATAAAAAAGCAGTGTAAGATCAAGGTAAAAGGTCTTACGTTTGCATTTGACAACACCTTTGTTTGGGTTTAGCGAAGGATTTAGGTCAGTGTTCAGAAGGTGATCTGTGCAACTCCCACCAAGAACATGAATCTGACACATATATCAAAACAGACCCTGAGTAACATATTTCAGATCTGCAAAAAATGTAGAGCGCTCTCTACTAGACTTGTCATCTGAAATATGCAATGAAGGCTAAGGCACGTATTTTCAATGAGCCTGGGTTGCATTTGATGCATGAACACAGTGATTCAGAACAAGTGCACTAGAAATGTTCAACCTTTTTCAAAGTTTACATGGATTAGAACTAATATATACAGACATTTAAGTTGTGTTGAGTAGTAACTAGTTGTACCTGCACTATGTGATTTAAAAATGCAATTACATTTTTATTTAATTAAAACAGAAATTATAAAGAAGTTCTAATTCTTTACTGTTAAAAAAAAAGCTAGGATGTGTTTAATATTATTAATCTGTTGTCTATTTTTTAAGTTGCACAAGACTTCTGTTATTTTAGGGCAGTTTATTAAATGATGCAATTCCCGTGCTTTTTAAAAGGTTTCTTTGTTTGAATCTGCACAGTTGAGGACAAAAAATGGAAAACAGAGTAAGGTTTATTTATTTATTTTAAGGAAATCCTAGATGCCAGTGTTTAATATTATTCAAATACAAAAAATTTTATAAAAAACAAACAAAAAAAAAAACATCACAACTAGGATACCACTTCTTATTTTGAATATGCATTTAACTTCAATATGTTCTCAAATGTTAAAAGAGGCAGTAATCTAAAGTGTACATTGAGGCTTAAATGTGTGTAAACAGCCACTCAATGTGAAGAGTAGGGGTGTCAAAAGTAACTGTTTCTTCGGTGCACCGCGATGCAGACGCGGACAATTTGGTATCGATTCAGTAATAACCATAACCGGTTATTATGTAGTGACGTCATTTATCTCCTATGCGCTCTGTCGCGAGGGAGGTGAGCGCCGTTATTTACAACACTCAGCCAACTCAGGGCCGACCCGTGGCATAGGCACCATAGGCAAATGCTTAGGGCGCTGTATATCCAGTGGGGCGCCAGAAATGAGCGCGGTTCAGTTGGTTTTGTTTGGTCAATAACTCAAAAAACGCTTACCCTAAAAAGATCTAAAGTGTGTTTGCTACAGAAAGACAAAGCTGGTTATGTTTCACAGCTGTCTTTCTTTTTTTCGCTCGACATTACGAGCACTGCTCCGTTTAAGCCCTCGCAGTCTGCGTTTACTTTAGCCGGCAGAGCTCGCGCTGAGAGGAGCTCTCAGTAAGGGACCGTCGGAAAAGTGCTTATTTTTTTCGTTTTTCTGCTCCGCTCAGCGCGAGCTCTCCCTGTTGCAAGGGCTTAAGTGTGTTTGTTTGTGTGTGTGTGTTTGTTTGTTTGATGCTGTCTATGTTTGTGAATGTGTTTGACAGTGAGAGACAATGAGTGACAGTGTGTTGCTGTGTGTCTGTGTGTTTATACAGACAGCATGTTATAGCCTCCCCCCTAAAATATAACACTGTATATGGAAAGCATTGTCAATGCACCGTGATGCACCGAGATATCGAATTGAACCGAATCGATGGCATGATAATCGTAACCGAACCAAACCGTAAGACCAGTATAGGTTCACACCTCTAGTGAAGAGAGTTTTGTTGCACTGACTGTATTAATCAGGACTGAAGTTAAGCAGCAGCATTATTCCTTTATTTTTATTGAACCATAAGGGGGGTGACACTGATAGCAAAAACAGTAAATGGAGACTGATACGTTCCCAAAATCTCAGATTACTTCGCAAATGGTGCATTAAAAGCAAGACCATCTGACAGATTCACTACACCCTAAGCTTTTCTCAGTGGATCAAACATCTCTGGACTAATACACACCATCAGAAACATGACAAAAATATATAGCACTCAAGCTGAAAACCTTTCAATATCTGCATGCACATAAGATTAAACAAATCCAAAAATGTAGGGCAAAATAAAAGATTATCACCATTTGTTTTCTCAATTAAATACAACAAATGATAAATGCATTTAGGTCAATTTAAAGGTTTCTCAATGCTATTAAAAAATAGCTTCTTTATTTAGCAAAACATCTCCTCTCTAATTCTCAGATTCTGTGTAAAGGATCTTTAAATCAACTGCAAGATTCTACCAAAATGTTGTAAGAGATCACAATGCATAAAAGAAATTATATGCACCTTTTCTGGAGAAGGTATATTTTCAAGGTTTTAAAGAAGTTCTCAACCTCACATCACTTTGAATAGTTTCTTTCTTGCTTTATTACTTTCTTTACTGAGATGTTGGTTTGGCTGTCTAAGACATTATAAGTATTTCCCATTCCAACAGAAATATGTTAAGATGCTCTAGACAGCCAAATGTTGATGAAGCACAATCCCGTGTTCCGTCAGCTTGACCAAACCACATGTAGATCCACCTGCGGTCTATAGAAACCCAATCTCAAATAAACCTGCCGCCGCATACAGAAAGGAAGCACCTGAACCTGAACGCACAAAAAAATACATCTGCCATTTGACAGACACTCGACATTAGATTTAATGTAAGTTTATAAAAGCATCTGCCAGATGTTTAGGCTCTTTTTATTATTTCATCCACTGCGACTAATATCCATTCTAATTGTCATTTGTAGAGACAATGATCTTGCACACTGATTTAAGGGCATACTGCTTCAGTGAACCCTGACATACCAGAACGCACTTAATCCAAGATTACTCAGTGTGTCAAAGTTCGGGGGTAATCTAGGAGTCACAGTGGGTCAGTCGGTCAGGAAACACATGTGTTTTCACCATTGATCTACCATCCAAAGTGCCATTCATTTCTTACTGTGGTGACAGGCACAAACAATGAGCCACAACACACATTTAAAATTAAAGGCCATATATCTGCGTTTTCTTTCTCACACAAACTAAAACTCAATTCAATTGCTGATAGTTCATTTAAAAATAAAAGGCAGAATATTATGTCTGGGGATAAATGAGTGTGTCGCTGTTTACCTGGGGCTGTTGCAGGATCTCTCTCGATACATGACCCCTCCACCGCAGGTACGTGAACAGTCAGACCACTCAGACCAGCCTGACCACTGGCCGTGCACTGCTTTAGGACCGTGATCACCAAATTTGACACACTGTCCTTTTCGACACCACTGAATTATGGAAAAGAAGAAGAAAGATCATCTTGATCAGTAATGTGTGAAAGTCTGGTTCCATTCCAGTTGAGTTCTCAAGGAGTGAAGTTTATTTAAAAACTAATTTCAAGAGGATCACGCGCAATTGATTGTCCATGGCTGGTTCCGCATTAGCCAATACATAATTCACCAATCAGATGATTCCTAACTCACTATAAATAACCAAAGTTTCTTCCTAGTATTTTTGTCTTAAAGAATCCCCCTTCTTACCTCTACACCCCCTCCATTCTAGATTGGGCGACTCTTTTGACCAGTGATTAGCACTGTTGCCTCACAGCAAGAATGTCACAGCTTAATATCCCTACTAAACAGTCAGCATTTCTGTGCAGAGTTTGCTTGTTCACCCTGTGCTCACGTGGTACCTAAGGGTGCTTTCACACCTGTGAATCGATTCAGTTGTTCCGAAACAGAGATTACAATTGTTACATTGTTGCTCTTTGCTCTTGGAGCGGTTTGCTTTCACACTGCAAAGTTTCTAATCGGACCAAAAGAGCTAAAAAAAAAGTCACGTGCGAGTAAACTCTCCTCACATTGGTCAGAGTGTCAGGGTTTATTTTGCAGCGTCCTGCTCAGCTGTCAGAAGAGGTGGTGGTTTGGTGGTGATTGACAGGGTGCGCGCGTGCGACGTGTCTGAGGAGAGATGCGGTGGGGAGGGGTGAGAAGGGTGCACGACGATGCCTATTTGAGTACCGGGAGGGAGACGCGAGATTACCGGGAGATCATCACTCGTTTGCGGGCATCCGGAGACTCGCGAAACTTCCCGCCATACTCATAATTCTCTCTTCATATAGCCGTAAGCCTATTACATATCCATAAAACACTGTGACATAACAGCTCTCGGATCGGATCTCTTTCTAACTGCAATCTAACCGCTCCAGGGTTCGTTTCAATCGAGCCGAGACCACCTCATTCAAGCGATCTCGGAGCGATTACTTTGGCGCGGAACAGAGCGCGATTGCCCTGTTCACATATGCCAAACGAGCCGCGCTAACTGGGCAAACGAGATACGTTCCGAAACAAAAGTGTAGGTGTGAAAGCACCCTAAGTAAATCGAACATTCTAAACCGGCATCATAGTCACACTCTTAGTAAGTCGTACATCTCTTTTTAGCCACTCCTTTATCTGTCATTAGGCAGAAATAAGTCGGGGAAGTTTATTGAGATCTACCTGAGCTCAAACTACACTATCGCCCTGCTAACAGGAGGAACCTCGAGGATCTTATGAGCTCAGGGGACAGCGTGCCAAACAAGCTATTATTATCAATTATCAGCAAATTATTATATCGTAACGTAACATACATACAATTGCGACCTCGTATTTTATAATGTTAAATTATACCTCACATTATAACTATTTCTTGCAGTTGTGGTATTATAATGGTTAAAAACTGTGAATATCACACTATAAATTATGTCTGAGTTGTGAAATGCCTTATTTTTCAATTTTCTTATTTTACACTTTTTTTCCGATATAAAAACATCCTCAGGAGAAATGTGCCTACATTCAAAAGGCCCAACGCAACCCGAAATCCGTGTTTGTGTGGTAAATGAAGAGATAACAGAAGACCAACGTGATTTCTTTCAAGTCAAAGAGAAGGCATGAGAGGGGATGTGAGGTAAATGGAGAGAGTGTGTATCTGCTGAGGAGATCTTGTGGCCTGCTGGTTTGGGACTAAGCCCAGAGTTACACCTGGAGAGCAGGACTCGGCCCAGCCAAGCCACAGAGTCCCACACATCAGCACCTCTCACCCTCGTCGAGTGGAAAGATACGCAGGACAAGCCGTCTTTACGCTCATTCACACAAAGCAGAGAACAATACCACAGGTGGCTAGAGAGAATTCGGACAGTGGTGGTTCATCAAGTTCACACAGACAAGCACTCACTCACCATGTCTGCTCCACAGATGGTGCCCTCGGCAGCAGGCATGAACTTGGTCTCACACCGGTGTCCTGTTCTGTGGCACCACAATGATTTACAGATGTCCTGGTGGGCACGAACACACAGAGAGAACAGTCAAAGACAGGCCTACTACACCCGCTGGGAAACCATTCAACCTCCCTGACTTGTACCTCACCACGACGACCTCCTGTTTCTACAGCAACGGCCAATCAACTTTCCCAACAAATAAAAAAGCCTGTCAAAATCAATCACTGTGCTGCCCAAAAGAAACACGCTATTATCGTTGCATTTTGTTTCTTCCCACAATACGATGATAATAATGGGTGATGAGAGGTTGGGAGACCGGCCACTGCTGGCCGACGGCCCGATTGCATCTGGCAGACGAGTGAGAGAGAGATGTGGTTTACAAAAAGCTAACAACACCGGACCATGGATCATCGGGTAGCTAATGCCGCTAGCTCCCACGGCTAATTACATCTCAACGACTTTGTGACAAGGACGGGATGGTTTGTGGGGGATGGAGGAAACAAAAACAGTGGGTTTTATCTCCACAATCATTCTTAATTAAGATGTACAGCTGCCTTCCATCAAGGTCGACGTTCAAGACTCTTTTCAGTCTCCGAAGAGCACAAAAGCAACAGGAGAGGAAGTCCATAGCATGAGAGCTAATCCCACAGATAGACTCTCGCAATGTTCATTTCCCAAGCATAACTATTTGCATATCAATGTGTGCGTTAGACGCTAAAGGCTACAGCGGATGCCAAAGGGGGCCCTGTCCATCTTTGTGGAACCTTTGTTCCGCAGGGACTATGAATGAAGACTTAGAGTAGATTTTGAGGCAATGGGTTCCTCTCAGCAGTTTGTTTTCTTTCTGAAACTCTGATGTGTGTTTGTGTTGACCATAAAGTCTCTGCACACAAACATTACAGGTTAAAGCACATTTAAATATCCGAGACTCTGAATGAACTCAATCTCGGTGAATGCTTTCGTGATATTGTGTTTTGTCAAAAGGATTCAGTGAAGCTGAGGCGTTTACCGTTTCCAACATGTGTTCAAACAAATTTGGTATGAAGATCCATTAAAGTGCTTCAACTATGAATGGAAAATCTTAAATGCTATGCATTACCTTTACAAAGTCCAGGCCGCATAGTTTTGCCTTTGAGCCAAACTGCCATTTGCACTGTATATCTGCATCGTACAGCTGACCTGGAAGCTGCTCAGGATACTTGTACTGGCCAATCTGCTTGGGCTCGTCCACTAGACACGAAGCCTGAGCTGTACTGTGAAGATGAATGTACATGAAGAAAGATGAGCATTAACAGAGTATATACAGGAATCAGAGAGTGAAATTCAATACCTTTTAAGACCTTTTTTAAGACCCTTTCCATACATTTTAAGACTTTATAACCACTTTAGGTTTCAACCGGAAACACTGGCGAGATTTAAACTTATATTTAAACAGTATATTTACTAAATATTAACGTAAGAAACTAATCCAAAACTAAAACATTTTTCATATACTGAATAAAAATCTTACAAATCTAGCTAATTCAGCAGGTTGGCGCCTATAAAACTGCAGAAATAAAAGTGTTGGTTTTTGCAGTAAACAAAGCAGCATGATGTCAAATCTAGCAGGATTTCATTGAGTTCATAAGCCACACAGCATCCTGATATTCACAGATTTAATTCAGACAAACTTTAACAACCAATCATGCCTTGCTTAATCATATATAAAATTGAATACCTTGTAAAATAGCATTTAAGACTTTTAACACTTTTTAAGTCCCTGTGGACCCCCTGATTAAATAGGACCTTTGACTCATAATATCCATGAAAGCAATAAAACAGCTTGATTTTTTTCCTTACTGTACTGTTTTTTTGTGTCCTTTCTCTTTTTTCATTTCATCATTTTCTTTTCAGCTTAGTCTCTTTATTACTCAGGGATCCCCACAGCGGAATGAACCGCCAACTTATCCAGCATAAGTTTCACACAGTGGATGCCCTTCCAGTTGCAACCCATCACCGGGAAACTACCATACACTCCTATACATATACATACACCACGGACAATTCAACATACGCAGTTCACCTATAGCACATGTCTTTCTACTGGGGGGGGGGGAAATCGGAGAATCCGGAGCAAACCCACTAAACCAAGGGGAGAACCTGCAAACTCCACACAGAAATGCCAACTGACCAAGCTTAGGCTCGAACCAGTGACCTTCTTGCTGTAAGGCGAATATGCTACCCATTGCACCACCGTAACACCCCCTTTTTCTTTTTTTCTGAGCAAAACATTATTACTATCATAAATTTTTACCATGCTTTACAAGCGACACCCACTAAAATGTCATTCAGTGTAACAAATTTTATATATACGCAAAACTATTGACAAACAAAAGTAATTTGATACTATTTAAGGATCACAGTCCTAAATTACTAATTAACTTTAATATGTATATATGTTGATAATGTTAACCATGCTGTTTCATTTGTCATTCTAAAGCACAGGTGTCAAATCCAGTTCCTGGAGGGCCGCAGCTCTGCAAAGTTTAGTTCCAACCCTGCTTCAACCCACTTATCTGTAGGTTTCAAACAAGTCTGAAGGACTCGGTTAGTTTGATAAGGTGTGTTTAATTAGGGTTAAAGCTAAACTGTGCAGAGCTGTGAAGAACTGAGTTTGAAACCTGTTTTCTAAATGATAAAGTGCAAGATTATCTTACCCATGACATTTTTTTCACAAAACTTAGTTTATTATCAATTAATCAATACAAATTATGAGTCTTCACATGCACCTAATATGTACATTTTAAATATAAATCAATTAGCCTATACATTTTGTAACATTATGAATGTTTAATTTTTTTTTTTGCATTATAGTGCATTCTTACTAAAAAAAGGTAACATCTGGATCAAAAACTCATCCGGATGTTACACTGTTTTATTAAATTATTTTGTATTAGTTACGCTTTTTCTTGTTCACTCAACTTTTGAAAACATCAGCTGCACTGAACTACAATTATTTGTCAGTAATACAAAAATCCTTTAGTTGGGTTAACATAAGATTATTAGTTTTCTGGAGAGGTGAGCAACTCTGTAACAAACCTTTTTAAGTTGTGCCAGGTGAAATTTTTTTTGTCTGCAGAACTGAAATGCCTGAAGTTGAGAAAACAAAAAACATAATCTTATTTCCTTTTGTTTTTTCTTTTGTACTTAATTGTTTTTTATCTTTAATTGATAGGATAGTAGACAGAAAAGTGTCAGGAGAGAAGAGAGGGGAGGGATCAGCATAGGACCTCAATGAGAGAATCGAACTCAAGTCGCTGTGAAAACCAGAGTGCTATGTGTCAACGCACTAACCACTACATCATTGGTGCTGACTTGTATTAAATCTTTGAAAACAGCAGTTGCACTGACCTAAAATGTCTAAAGTTGAGTGAACAAAAAAACTCTTGTGGAAATTGATACTAAGAAATAATACATTATCAGAACAAACAAACATAGTTCAAGGGAAAACAAAATAAAACAGAGAAATGTTAACAAAACATGCATTAGACAGAATTAGAAACAGGACAGAAGGTAAACAAACAATAACGGTAAACAAGACAAGGATCAAAACATGGCAGGACAAAACAGAAAAAAATGCTTTTGTGCCTTCCTGATTTTTTCAGTTGTACTATGTTTGTTTGTTCTGATAATGTATTATTTCTAAGTATCGATTTCCAAAATAAAATTTTTGTTTACTCAACTTAAGACAGTTTAGGTCAGTGCAACTGATGTTTTCAAAAATTTGTTTCAAGAGTGGATGTCGGTGCCAATGGTGTAGTGATTAGTGCGTTGTCTGAGTTCGATTCCCGCCTCGAGGTACTATGCCAAGCCTTCCTCTCTCTTCTCCTTTCCTGGCTTTACTCTCCACTGTCCTATCAATTAAAGGTGTGAAAGAAAAGTTGAGTACACAAGAAAAAACTAAAGAAAATAAGAATAATGTTTCTTTTTGTTCACACAACTTCAGGCATTCCAATTCTGCTGATAATAAATACAAACGTTTTGTTCACCTCTCCAGAAAACTAATAATCTTTTGTTTGTGCAGCTGATGTTTTCAAAAGCTGAGTGAACAAGAAAAAAGGGAAAGGAAATAAGGATTATGTTTTTTGTTGTTGTTGTTGTTGTGCTGACTTAAATTTTTTTACAGTGAAGATAAAAAAAAACATTTCCAAAATGTACACTTTAGTCGGAGAATAATATAATGTAAAGTGAAGGTTAAAGTTTACCCTAAAAACCGGTTAAGGTATTGTCGGCTACATGCAGACCACGAGAAAACACCATTATTCCCGGCGAGTGTTGGAGACATTATGTTCCCCTCAGTCTTCCGGCAGGGATTCCCCTCTCCGTCATGGATCATTCCAAAACTGGAGCAAAACATAGAGGGAGCGAAAAAGAGGGAGAAATGGAGATTGTGAGTTTTACCCAGAGAGACTATTAATGAACAACCCCAGGACAGAAACCACTCCCTCAGTCAGGTGGGACATTACCTCTGTAGCTGAAAGCTCTTTCATCCCACAAACCCCTTTAATAATCTCTGTACTCAGCCGAATTGGACGAGATTCACACTGACACATTCAGAGGCATACTTTCATCAGCCCTGTGAGATTCAGACCAATTAATGCTTCAAAATAAACAACTATAATCACGAAATATAGCAGACATGTGCAATGCTGGCAAGACATGTCATGTGTTTATAAATGACCACTCCTCAATAAATGAGTGATTAATGACTGTTGGCTAGTGAAGATTTTGCCCCAAACACCATGCACATAGCAGGCACGTGTCCATTTCATTTGACCAAAACATTTCAACCACTGAGAATAACAAATCCCACAACGTGTTATCAACCTGGTGGTTCTCCAGGAAAGATTTCCTTCCAGTTTATGTTGAGAACATGCCAAAGGACCAATCGGCTCAAAATACGGCTGTCATAAAAACTAAATCTCAGACGTACAACATAAACTTCCCCTTATCACAATGGCAACCGTTAAACACAAACAAAATGTTTGTCTGTTACACAGCATATGGTTTCCCCAAATGTAAAAGTGCGTGATATGAAAGTAGGAATGAACATACTTATGTCCCGATTCATGAGCGATTGTGAAAGCAAGGCCCAACCCTGTGTCTTCATTAATCGTGCAGCTCCGATATTTGCTACACATCCCACTTATCGGAGCAAAACCTGCAGACATAAAGTTAGAAAGAACAAAACAGAGGTACAAGTCAAATATGAATCAAATGAATTGCTTACAGAGACATTAAAGTCCAAGAGTTGTGGATGAAAGCAGTAATATATGATTTAAATATCACTTATCTCAACCCTAGTGTTTTCAAACCTAAAGAAATTGAAACACAATCCCATTTTACTATTTTTCTGACTGCATGGTTTCAGAAAAAGGCTTCGGTTTGAGTTTCACATCATACAGAGGCAATATAAAAGCAGTGCTTTCCCCTTTGCCATACATTCAAAGAGGTGCATACTTGTGGTTTGGAGCTTTAAAGCTGAATTCATTACATTTGGCTGACGCCTCTATAGCAAAAACTGAAGAAGCTGCCAACTGACTGCAAAGTGGATTTGAGTTTTCTTGGATTCATTCAGGTGAAGTTCTTTGCCTGAGGCCAACCCAGGACATGCATCACCAACCACAAGCTCTTTCTAACCTTGCCATTGTGTAATGCACTCTCTAGGACTTGAGTAGCTGCTGACATCACAACATGTGACCCTGATGCTGGATGGTGCATGTCAAGTGCCTTACCCAAGGTGTCACACGGTTCATTCTTCCAAGAGCAGATGTCCAGCCCTGTCAGCAGTATAGCATGGTCGTGCCGCTTGCCATTTTTACCTACAAGGCCCGATTGCCACTGGCAGAAGCTGTTAAGGGATTGGTCTGCGTGGTGGTTGATAGACAGGCCCAGCTGACAGCAGTGAAACCAAGAGAGATCAAAGGAGTGGTGAGAGAAAGAAAAGAAAGTAATGAATGATCAGGTGTCTGTCGAGTATGAAAGAAACTTAGAAAATGCTGGGAATCATTCAAAAAGTAGACTCTCCTTTAAATAAAAACAAACAAGCTGTAGTGGCCAGAGTCCTCTGTGCTGTTGTCATAAAAGCAAATTAAGACATACAGTCCAGCCCAAAACTACTCATACCCCTAGAAAATGATAACTTCAATTTAAAAATTATAATACCTTTTATTTAGCCACCTTATTACTACCAGAAATGACACTGGATAGATACATGGATGGATCGGTTAATGAATGGATGGATGGATGGATGGATGAATGAATAGATGGATGGGTCGGTGGATGAATGGATGGATGGATCGGTGGGTGGATGGATGGATGGGTGGATTGGTATATAGATGGATGGATGGATGGGTGGGTGTTTGAATGGGTGGGGGTGTATGGATGGGTGGATGGATGGATTGGTGGAAAGATGGATGGATGGGTGGATGGATGGATTAGTGGATTAATGGGTCGGTGGATGGATGGATGGATGGATGGATGGGTCAGTGGGTGGATGGATGGATGGATGGATGAATGGATGGATGAATGGGTGGGATGGTATATGGATAGATGGATGGATGGGTGGGTGGGTGTTTGAATGGGTGGGTGGGTGTGTATGAGTGAATGTATGGATTGGTGATTGGATGGATGGGTGTGTGGGTGTTTGGATGGGTGGGTGGTGGGTGGGATCGATAGATGTGTGGGTAGGTGAATGGATGGATGGATGGGTACATGGATGGATCGGTTAATGGATGGTTTGTGGATGGATTGGTGGATAGATGGGTGGGTGGGTTTACAGATAGATGGATAATAATAATACTTAATAATAACTCCTTACATTTATATAGTGCTTTTTCTGCTTCAAAGCGCGTTACACATTGAGGGAATCTCCTCATCCACCACCAGTGTGCAGCATCCACCTAGATAATGCGACGGCAGCCATATTGCGCCAGACCACACACCACACACCAGCTGATTGGTGGAGAGGAGAATAAGTGATGAAGCCAATTATGATATGGGCATGGTTAGGAGGCCATGATGGACAGAGACCAGGGGGCAAAACTGGCCGGGATGCCGGGATTAAACCCCTAGTCTTTTTGAAGAACATCCTGGGATTTTAACAACCCCAGAGAGTCAGGACCTCCGTTAAACGTCTCATCCGAAAAATGGATGGATGGATGGATGGATGGATGGATGGATAGATGGATGGGTGGGTGGATGGATGAATGGACAGATAGATGAACAGCTATGGCTAACAGACAGACAGACAGACAGACAGACAGACAGACAGACAGACAGACAGACAGACACTTATCTTTCTTACCGGATCTTTCTCAAGTAGGAGGAGGCTGACCACAACAATGTTGATATCATTCCCAATAGTCCCATCCTTGAAAAGACTGGAGACCTTTTTAACATAACATTACTTGACACATCACTTTAGAAACAAAGTGTCTTTAATGTAGTACAGTGTAGTAGCTCCACCCACCATGTTCATGACAGTAAGGACATAGGTAGTGACATTGTCTCTGCCATGTTTCTCCAGCATCTTCCGGTCTGCCACCACCAGAGTTTCCACGTTCAGCCCACCCTCTTTGCTCGATGTGATCTCTGAGCGTTTTACTCGGATTTGCTGCTCAAACTCGTCAGGCATGACAAAGTGATCCTCTGTAGGAGGCTTGGGAGTATCTGTAGTTAGGATCAGGTGAAAAGATAAAAGCATGGAAACTCATGAAAAAGAGTGAGAGAAACTGGAAATTGCCTCAAATAACTGCTTGTCCACTTTCCAAGCTAGCTCCCAGATAAAAGCAGTGGAGAGGCGATGACAGAGCAGGAAATACACAGTCATTAACCTCACATGCCGTTTCCAAGCTTTCATTCAATTCATTCGGTACAACAGATGATAATGACTCAACAGTTTTGCTTTTGGAATCAGTCAGAATATCTCAAAGAGGTTTGCTGATGAATGCTACTACAATTATATAATGTGCTTTCCAAATACAAAATAAAAACTAAAAAGGAAATTCCCTTACATACATTGCTTGCGGCGTCCGCAGAAATGTTGTCTCTGAAGCTTTCCGTGTTGGTAATCATGGTGACGGTGGTGGTGGTGATGATGGTGATGATCTTCATAGGGGTTGCTAGATTTAAAGCGACTGGTCCGGTCAGTTTTATCAGCATGCACTCTGCGCTCAGCTGACCGCTTGTAGATGACATGTGGGTGATGTCCAGAGGGGGCGCTGTAGTTGTGTTGTAAAGCCAAATGCTGTGGTAGTGGAGTAATGAAAAGTTCCTCACTGGAGTACCGGATCAGGCCCGACTGCAGAGCACAGAGGAAGAGGTATAAATGTAATAACAAACAATTTGGTTGAAATGTGTCTGCATGAAAGACAGATAAACAGATTACTATTTAAAGGTGCAGTATGTAAGTTTGACACCCAGTGGTTGAACTAGGTATTGCATTCCTGGATCAAAACAAGTCCAAACTTCGAACCTAAAGGCTGATTTAAATCGTGTTCTAAATAAAAGCAACGGCACACAATAGAAGGATTATTTTCCATATTTAAAGGAGTTTTTGTCCTAACCAACACCTTTAATTGATATATTAGAAACAGCTTGTTTAGAAACAGAAAACTGATAATGATCACCTCAGGTACACCTCATCAGCTTTATTCAGTGTTAAATGCTAACAATGTGAGTTTGAATGCCATTTTAAATGACATACTACTGAAAACAACAGCAGATAGGTCACCTCAGATCTTGAAAATAAAAATAAAATTGAACTTTAGCACTAAACACATATGAGTGATTCAGCATGCGCATTTAATAATGTTAAAGAAGTTTAATATCTATTAATGAGATTATAAACTTTACCATTTTGTGACTGAGTGCATATTCTGTGCTTCTGAATGGCTATATTTAAATTTATGTCGTGTTTTGTCTGGTGCAAATAGCCAAATTGCTCATGACTGCAAATCTCGTTACATAGCATGTAGTTAGGACAAGGGGTTACATTGTAACCTGCTCATCTAATGTTTACATTCGTAAAATTTATTATTTGCTAATTAACCTCATGTGGAACTGAATCTGCGTCTTATTTTGGAGTCTGCTACTGTCCACCAGAAGTCACATTTCAGTCACGGATCCATGCTTTGGGAGCCTTTCTGAATGAATTAATACGCGGTTCGGTTTTGGGGGATAATTTTGACTCCAACTGTATATATATAGTCAGGTCCATGAATATTGAGACATCGACACAATTCTTACACTTTTGGCTCTATTTATGTGCTTTAACTGCAAACTGTCAGCTTTAATTTGAGGTGAACGGTGTAGACAGGTTGCATATGTGCCTCCCACCTGTATATGTGCGTTATAAATAATGTCTGTTTTTTTTACAGTAGAGAATTATTGTGCACAAATATTACAACTATGGTCAATACAGATTAAACAAAAAAGTATTTTGTTATTAAAATTATACATAATTTTGTCAAAATAATAAAAAATATATACTATACTAATAAATATATGAGGCATCAAAACATTATTTGAAAATTATTTGAGCATTAAAAAAAATGGCGGATGTTTTACAAAAATAGATTGCTGATATTTAGCAAATATTGACAATACTGTCTATTGAGAACAGCGGATAATCAATTCAATACCAATACATTGTGCTTCTCTTGTTACCACTATTGCAAGTTAAGGTCATTTTCCAGCTTAAATGCAACAGCATGTGTTGCATACTGTGATTAATTAAAAGATCTCCATTGTAAGCACAAGTGGACACAACTGTCAGCATGTTTATTGTTTTCTTTCTACAAACTGAGGGCTGACTTGAACTTGTTTTTGGTGGCAATCAGCACGCAACAGATGCTGTCAACAGAGGTCAACGTCTAGTAAACCTATCCCTCTGGTTCAAGTTATAAATCGAAGTGCACAGATACGGGACTGAAAATATATCAAATCAAAGACGTGAGGTATTTAAGTGAGTTTGATGTCATGGAAGAAAAGCCCTCCAGGAGACCATAGACTTTTACATTCCTGGCTGCGGGGGATTCGTGGTCCTCCAGCTGAAACTTTGGTGCTTAAAAAAAACAGCTGTTGCAGAGTCACAAAAAACGGGCATCGCCATAGTTACAGCTGTCAGTACACAATAAACAAAAGATGACATGGTGGGACGTAGAGCAGCCTGGGGCTTCTGGAGGCATCTTACGGAGCTGCCCATTTATCAAATGTTTCAGTACAGAGAGCAAAGGGAAAATTCATATGCAGCATAACCTTTCAGCAGCTTGTTTTATAGTGACGATTAGCATGGCCAAAAGCCAGGCATGACAGGTTTGATAGACTATCACATCTACATCCTCTCTCAACAGCACTCAGGCCTTGAAACTCCCTAATTAACTCTCTTTTTCCGTGGAAAAATAAAGCCTGAGAGGCAACTTACTGTTGTTTATCTACCATGCAACGAGGGTAATATTAATTCTAACACAGCCACATTTTCAGAAGCATACTCGAAATCACATCATCCAGTCTCATCTTATCTGAGTTGGGGGAGTTTTATGTATCTTTTAGAGCTGAATTAGATGGCATGTTTGAGAGGTCAGACATTCGTGAGAAGTGATTAATGAGGTGCGGGGTCAAAGGCAAGCCCGAAGCTTATCGTCTGCTATGATGGTGACATGCATTAGTGCCCTGGGATATATTCACTGCAAGCCAACACATGCGCATATTTAGCCATTACTAATAAAACATGTCAGAGCTTAATTACTTCATTATAAGTCAGATACTTGTGTTGAAGATTTATTTGGATTGGGTCAGTGTTTCTGTGCAATGTCGTTTCCAGGTAAATGTAGCAGTATTTCAGGATTGAATCACTCTTTGAAAATTGTAGTGCCAGTGGAAAAAGCTATTTATGTCAGCTTTATAAAACATACATACTACACAGTGATTTTACCTAATGAATATTTATGTTATGCATTATAGATTTTTTGTTACATTTATATCATATGTTATTTTGGAAAACAGTCAATGATTGTGTTGATGTTTGGAGGTATACTGTTCTCCCAGTGCAAAGAGGAAAAACATTATTGTAACTGAATCATTCATTTAAATCAGGAGTCTCAAACTCCTGGCCCATGGGCTATTTACGCATCCCCTCTGATCCACAACTGATTTCAAAAATATAACAATATTCGGTCCACCAAAACATATTTTTTTGAGTCACTATCATTGTTGTACAGTCGCATATAGCCACATGTGGTTTTGGCCTGCCACCTGCTGGACATTTACGGCTGTGCATTAGGATAAGTTTTACTTTCAGTTTCTCCTAGCGTGCGGCCGAGAATAACCCACATGCAGTTTGTTTCTGAGTTGATTTAAACGTTGAAATATATGTCCGTAAGTGCTCTATTTTTACTAAAGCTCTATTTTGATAGACATTGAGTATTATCAGTTTCATACAGCAAACACTTATGCAAACACTTTTTCATGGCATACACATTAAGCAGGTTGAGTAACAAATATGATATTTTTCTAATATTTCATTTAAAGGGTCTCATTTAATAGATTTTCTTGGATTTTAAGATTTGTATAAAAACTATGTACATTAGTAAAATTCTACTGCTGGTTGAACTGAACATGTTAACGTAAATGTGAATATACAGGCTTGATACTTCCCCCTCTTTGTAGTTTTACAAAAAGAAAGTTATAGAGAATAACAATTCAGGCCCTATCATACAACCCTAATATTCTCATTTTGAGCCAGATTGTTTAAATGCAAAATCCATTGCGTTGTTATTTTGAGGAACTTGACAATTGACAAACTAAAAACTGGTCTAAAGTCCAGCTTAGAGAGTGTTAGTTGTGCACCTTAAAACCTTAAAAACATACCGCCATATCTACAAAAGTAGAGTAGTAAATTAAAGAGTAAAAGTAAAGTAAAGAGAAAGTAAAGAAGCCAAATGGAGGAGACTTATTCTTTATTCTCGCACTGCAGATGGTCTGTTTAACTGTTTTCTTGCTAGTGAAGCATTCAGTTTTTCCATACACAAAGTCCACCATGTAAATAGCAAATGTGCCATGGCCTAATGCAACTGACTCTTAAAGGGAATGGGAGATGAGACTCTGACTGGTTTAATGCATGTAATGCTCAAAACACACTCATAACTCATTAAGAGAATAAGCACAACCCTGTTAGACCATGCTCCATGGTGCAGAGCATATATTTTCATCCTTAGAACAGCAACAGTAAATTCTGACATGCCCTTAATGCTTTTGCGCCATGCGCTTTAAGCCTAGTTTATACTTCTGCGTCAAGTGACCGGCGTAACCCGCGGCGCATGCAACGCCCGTGTCTGTGCATTTATACTTCTGCGCGCTGTCTCTGTTGGTCTGCATTAACACTTCCGAAACGCTAGTTGGCAGTGAGGTGTAAATGTTCCTCTGTGTAGAGTTTCTTCGCTGCTGTTTTGCTTTTCCTGAACACTTCCTGGATGTACAAGTGGCTCAAACTCGCTCATTTTGAGGCAGGAACCGGCAGACGTGCAACAACTTTAACTATGAGGTGAACACGAAACAAAACTTTCCATCCGGAGCTCCTTCACGGGACTCCACACTTGTAAACAATCGCCCAGACTCGTCAGCGCTACCAAGCCGACCAATCACAGAGCTTGCGTTACGCGTTGTTGCGACTTGTACACAGCAAATTCATCAGAGTTAAATTCTTGGTGTTGAAGCATTTCAGAGTAAAGTGTTGACGTTAAAGAGTTAGATTTTGATAAATGAGTATAATAAGAGTTAAAATTGATTTTATTCAGTGCGAAATCAAGGAGTTAAGTTTTCAACACTTGGTGGTGTTATTTCCAACATCCGGGAATTCATGCAGCCCCAGTCACTGAAGAATTTTCCAGACGCCATTTTCCATCTGAGGTTTAGAACAGCAACTGGTGAGTCAAACTACCTAAATGTTGGTATTTTACTGACTTTCTTTAAGGAAATACAGTTGTAAACATATTGTTAAGTTAATAACTTTAGAATGGAGTGACAATTTTAAACTTCTGCGGTTCATTCATGGTCGTTTGTGTATCTAGCTTAACTGCATTACTATTGACTTCTTTTCAAGAATGTTTTTATAAATGCTCACGCATACATAGTGCATAAAAACATCAAATGTACATGTTCAACACATTTCTGTCACGCTTAATGCCATTTTGTGCGTTGTTACCCATCTGTAAAATAAAATCGACACTTCTCCTTTAATTCGAAACAAACTAGCGAGGGATTCCCCGGAGCGCCTAGCCTACTCTGCCCGGATGCTAACGG